TCCGCCACTACACTCATGGTGGAGAGTTTTAGTTCTGGAGCCCGAAGGTATACACACTCAGGCTTGTCATACCTTTCTAGCTTTAAAAGAGTGCTCCTGTAAAATTAGCTGAGGGGAACAAGATCACTATTCTGTGGGTCGCCCTCTGAGGAAGTCGAATACATGGGGTAGCCCAAAACAGGAGTGGTCAATGCAGAACATTTATTCCTGCGCCCTTCATGCCCTCAACCTTCTTGTGAGCTGATAACTCATCCTCGTGTCTCAGCTCGTAGGCCACCCAAGAGCCGTAGGCTCCTAATAAAACTAATCTTTCCAATTTCAGGTTGTTTTTGGCGTACTCAATCTCATGCAGTGGCTCCTTGATTGGCCCCGATTGTGATCTGACCTGCAATCAGTCGTCAATTAATTCCAATACTGCTGCTTGCCGTTCAAACAGTACTGGGTTCTTCTATGTTTGCACTTATCAATCAGGAGGACAGGTCTGTTTGAAGTCGCTGAGGAGACCATTTTGACCGTCGAGAATTCAAGCTAAACCTTTTTGTTCCAGGTGGATGACTGTAAAAGTTGCCCATGGGGAATAAAGGAGGACACCTATTGCCAGGATGAAGGAGGTGGTATACTCGATCCCTACAACTCCGTGAGTTTCCTCACTTCTAATCAAAAGGCGCTTTTTCTGAGTCTTGTTGGAGTTAGATGGTCAAGCTCTCAATGATAAGTGAAACCTTTCCTGTCTAGGCAGTTATCTTGAGCTCCCCAACGGTTGGTGTGTTCTAGGGCGTTGTCGGCGTTGGTTTCCGTACCGCGACTATCATCCTCTCGGTCATTGTTCTGATCTTCCTTCTCCTTCTGATTTTCCTTTTGCTTGCCCTGTGCATACTGCAGTAAGTTTCCTCTAAATCTGCCACCCTAAAGGATTTTCCTTTACCTCTTTTTTCCAGACGTCGTCGAAACAGACCAGTGGAGAAGGAGATGACCACATACGAGCACAACGGATACACCGCCTCTACTCCGGCTTCCCGACCACTGCTGACTGCTGCCTACCGTGCCGAGCAGCCGACACCTCAACCGCGCTCTCAACCGCCCAGCCTTGACGCCCGACCTATAAGTGAGTGCATATAGAATTACAATAAAAAATATCAGCCGTAAAAGGGAAGAACTGGGGAAGAGCAGGAATTTTGTGGTCGTTTTTTCTTTGTATTTTTTTGCCTACATAGTTTTGCTTACTTGCCCTTTTACTGATACAGTATAATCGGCAGATTCGAAATGAATTGGTTACTGTAGGCGACGGATATTTGAGGGTAGCAAAGCCCAAGGCCAAACGACATAATAACTTATGATGAAGTTTAAAAAAAGGTAAAACGTCCAAGCATCCAAATCAATGCCGGAAAACGGCCCATACATACATAGCCCAACCGCCATGAGCCTTCTTTATGGTGATGCTGTAACCGGTCGCTATTAAGCCTTAGGTTCAGTGGAATGAATCACGATTCGGCAAGCTGGGTGAAGACTCAGCTGGCTTCATTCCCACTCTTGCTGACCTCTCTCTTTCAAGTATATTTTGATACTCTATGACTCTACATAACTCTTCATAATGTTTGAGAGCCCTATGCAGCAGAACATGGCCTATTACCTGATAGACACAGAAACCATCGTTACTAACTATTTATTTCTTTTTTCTCATATTCCTACTGCCTTGCAGAGCACAATCGAGCCTGTTCTGGATTATTTTTCAGTTACGTTTTGCTTGCCTGCTTCCTTTCCTCTTTCTTGCAAAGAGTTACCTGAACCGTCTATCGTTTTTCACCTTTTTCGTTCTTTACTGCCTTACACCTGTTTTTCTGTTCCCTCACGTCTTCCTTCACGTTTTGAATTTACAAATGCATTAATTTAGGCTCGTTTCCATGGTCCACCACCGTTTGATGGTGAGAAACTTTATTTATCGTAAACCCTTTTGATTCCCAATGAGATCATTGGTATACTTTTATGAGAGGCTCGATGGTTTGCTTACTGTTCACCTGTTATTTTTTCGGAAACCATGCGTTAAATACCGTAATACCACAAAAGGGCATCAACGAAGTATACCAACGGTCTGAAAACTCCCTTAACTGCCCTGCATCTGCACACTCTGCGAACAACCACTCTAGTCAAGCTTCACTGACAATCTGACTAAAATGGAATAGTATAGTCAACGTCTATATGGAGAACACTCCGAGCTTCACGTCCGTGACTGCATGAACTCTTCAAGCTACGCACTTTCGTAAAATTTGAACAATTATATCTGATAGTGGTTTTCATATTTATTGATCCTTAGGGTAGCTATGATCAGAACGAGCATCCAACCTCATAAATTTAAGCCTCGCTGGGCTTCACCAAATTAAAATAATCAGAATGGCCCCTCTCCAACCGGCCTAATGCTGCTTTTATAGAATACGAACAGTCACTAAGCTTGACGGAGCCCATTCCTCGAATAGGTTCTTCTATTCGGCTCCTCCAGCTTTCACTTTCCGATGGGTATTTGTAATGTCAGGTGTAGTGGCAAGTGGCTCACTACATCACACCCATGGTTACGGGTTCTAATCCCGGATGGATCCCTCTGAGCCAACTAGTATTCCATCCCTCTGGGGTTGGTTCATTGGTGCCAGACTCATCTGGGAGGATAAAAGCCTTGACTTGTACATCGGCCAGCCATCGCGAACCATTGTATTGGTCACATACGCATTCAATGTGTCTGTTGATATGTGTCATTGTATCTTAACGAATAGCCCGAGAGATAAGTGGATGCGGCACGAATGTCTCTCAAGAAATATACGGATCCGCCTGTAATTAGCAAATTTGCTTCTGCAGATCAACCCCTCTGAGAGTACTCTACGTGATGTCATCATTATCTCAATCTTTTCTGGTTACAATTTCACCCTAATGCTAGCAATCTTCCAAGACTTTTCTAGTGCATTCTCTCACCCTCCACCTTCCCTGTCCTCGGCGCTTATAGATCATGTAAGCTAAGCTCAGGAGCGATTGAAAGTTGCACCAGAAGATTTTGTCGAAGTTGATTCTCAATGATACAGTGACCTGAAAAAATTAATATTTTGCTAGAAATTTTCTCCCTAAACATTTTGGCATTATTTTTAATTGTCTTTGTCGTGCTCAATAACAGTAATCCAGTATGTTTGTATGTTACACCTCCTATTAGAAAAACTCCATAATAAAAAGTCTGAAAGCTATTCGGACTAATTCACTTCAGTTACAGAATCGTCGATACGAAAAGCGATGTCACCACCAGAGCAATACGACAGTCGTGATACGAGTTTCAACAGTGATTCCCCCTTGGGAATGAGACAAAGTCGTAGTGCTGTTGTATAGCTCGACCCGCGTTCATCTGCTTCTCAGCTCTCATGCTCTAAGCCGTCGTCGTCGGGTAAATCGAAAATTTATTTTGTATTTTGAGGGCATTTACAATTTTCGTACTGTCATTGCTCTCTAGTCACTGGACATGCATATCTGCCATACATTTTTCTTGTCGTCCAGTGAAAAGAATGCTTATTGAAGCTTTTTGGTATTTTTTTTTGAGCTTTTGTCTCTGCATTCTCTTCATCATCTAATCAGAGAAGACCCCCCACAGAGGTTCTAAACGGAGTCATCCTAACTCATCGATTTGTTCAGTTTTCACTTGAAGATAATTTATAACCTACTTTCCTACAGCCTTGTTTTGCTTAAGGCCGTCCAGGGATTGCGCGCTTAGCTGCTGCCCGGGGTAGGGGAGGGGTAGGGGTGGAATGGGTAAGTCAGAGAGTACGAGGTCAGGTGAATTGGCGTACACTTTTATTTCCCTTCATTCCTACCAAATCCATCTGGGTGAAATAACGAAAAAAGGGGAAAAAAATGGGAAAGAAAAGAAAAAACGTTCTGATGTATGTGACCACGAGTGACGTGACTTTTAATTAAATATTCCGCTAATCCCTTAGTCTTGATCTGGCCCTACCAAGCATCCGAGTGAGTTCGTAACCTCGACGATTCCTTACCCGACAGCAAAGCAACTCCCTAAAATCCCATTGGCCTTCGAATTCGGACAATGTTGACACTAGCACTGTCATGTCGATTGGCATCATATTGGGTGGTTCAGGGTTCAGTTGTGAAGCATCCCTAGATTGTCCCACTTTGTTCCCGTACCCTGCTTACTCTCCTCGGTGCGACTATTTATAGCTCCACGACCAAATTCTTCTGTGAAGCTCAGAAACCCATCACTGCCATGTTGCTGTTTCCCATAATCAAGTGCCTCTCCTTATGAATGTAGGATAACTAACATAACTGATAAAGCTTAGGATTTGTTATGCTGTGTGTTGGCTCCATTTTCACATAAGCCTATAGCTGCATGCCTTAGAACCACGTGGAAATTTTCTCATTGATTTTTTTGTACCGGCTAATACCACAAGAAAGACGGCTTTTACTCTTGCCGTAATCCTTCCGGACTTCTACAGACTTCCCTAAGAAGCATTGCTATAGTAATGCAATTTTAACTCAATCTTCCTTAATTTCGATGTCGAAGGCGTGGTCAAGCCTGAGCTCTGATCTGTAGAAGTTCGACCCCCCATCCCAGAAGAATCAAAACTCACTTTCCTCTTCGTTTCAGTTTCCAACACCCTTTTCTGAGGATAGTTTATAGTTATTAAAACTACATAAAATCGTGTCATTTGGCATTCGTTGGAATTTCAACTTTGTATTTTTTCGTTTGTCTTAATTTTTACTTTCGCATGTGCAATTGTTTTTGATCTGTGAGTAAATAACTCTCACACTTATGTACAGTAATATGAAAACTCAATTTTTTCACTGATTGTGTCTTGATGATATCATTTGTCTATCTTTATTGAATAAATCATTTGTTATCACTTTTTATCGAAGGCACAAGCAAAAGAATCAACAGAACGGTCGAATGATTAGATCACTATGGCACTTTTTGATGGGTTATTAACATAAATTAAATGAAAGATGCTATGAAATGGATTGAAATCTTGGCAATGATAAAAGAATTGTTCACTAGCGAGATAGTGGGTTTCCCATTTCTAGAAATCTCTTCAAATGGACGAGTTTGCTCTTCCCGCGCTAAGCATGTGTTTGAGCACCTTCTGATAAGATCCACTCTCTTTGCAAGTCGAGTTTGCAGACAAATTTGTAGGAAGGGGGGCAGGGCAGGAGAGATCCCAAAGTACCTTTCCTGCCCCTGCCCCCTTCCTACAAATTACTTGGAGTACCAAAGCTGTAATACTTGGAGTATCCCCTCTCACCTCCCCCCGAACTAATGAGCGAAAGTCAAAAAGTTGCTTCCCTTGAATCTTGAGAAAGTAGGCTGAAATTTTTCCCAACTTAAAATAACCACTTATTCTAGAGCCACTGGCAGGCCCTGTCGACCCGACTCCAAGGTTTCATGAACTGATAGGACTAACTCTGGAATTTTGCAAAAGGAGAAGTTCATGAGTGGGGAAAGGAGGAACCTCCGAGTCGTTCCTACATACCTTTGCTATGAGTGAAGTTTTTCTTGTGGCATCCCTAAGATCATCATGTTCTCCGATGGATGAATGCATCCAAACTGACACCGCATCAAAGTTAGAAGAGATTTCAGGTCGGGGTGTGGTGCATTAGGAACGAAATGGTCGCATCGCGGTGTGGGGGGCGTCGCGCGCGAAGGAATGTAGCAGGATGCAGCGGTAGGTAAGAAATACAAGAACAAAAGTACTAATAGTAGAATTATGTATAAAATAATGATCGTTTATCGATTGAGCTGTATGAAGAACGCTAGAGCTGCAATAACGGCGAATGAGTGGTCCGCGACAGCCGCGTGCGGCGAATCGATTACCCAAAATCGTTCCTAACGCCCGTCTCCCTTCAGGTCGAGTTGCAATTTCACATATAATGGACTACAAATTACCTCTGAAGTTGGACTCACTGCTAGAATTTCTGATTCTGCTGGACTCGGAAGTATACCATACACCCACTAACGACACCCACCACATTTTCACAATTTTACAACCAGCTCAAAGTTCTGTTTCTGCTGGACTCGGAAGCATACCATACACCCACTAACGACACCCACCACATTTTCACAATTTTACAACCAGCTCAAAGGTAGTATAACATTCATTGGGCCCTTCCCACAACTTAGGACTTCAGTTCATGAGGTGGTAAGACACTCCGATGAGCCTAAAGCTTTTGAGCGTTGTTGAGAGACATTACCTGCTGAATTAATCGATATTAACTGAGGATCTGGAAGTTGTCCTCAATTCTCCGATAACATAATTTGAATAAAAACACCGAAAAACAATAACATTGGAATAATGAAAGGTATGAGACGAGTTTTCGTTCGTGATGAGTTACAGTAATGTCGCTCATTGCAGCAGCACAATTGGCCAGTCATGCCAGCAAAGTCCGTATTCATGCAGGTATTGCGGAGAGCCTAAACATCCTCGATAAAGTGAACAAACATATTTGTTGACTTTTGACTGAGACCGAAGATAGCTCAAACGAGTGCATGCTATGGCTCCATGACAGTAATCTCGGAGCATCGAGGTGGTCGGATTGTGTTCACAGACACAGACCGAATTCTAGTCAATAGGGCACCAATTTTTAGTCTGCCCTACAGATTAAGCACAGAATGCGCCGGTAGCCAATCATCTCTCCTCAATTGTGCTGATTTGAAGGTTCGATGCTATGTATAGATGTGGAAGCTGGTCTGAATAGTGAACTCGGCTGTATACCAGTGGACCTTTGGCAGTATATAGGCTTAATCCGCTCTCTTCCTTTCCCACCGTGAATGAAAGTAAGACCCTTAACCCGATCTTCCGAAGAGAGTTGTAAAGACCTAGATAAGTTTATATTTGCTCCTCAAAGGCACACTCCACGATGATCTTGAAGCATCCTTTTTAAGATGAAAGGCAGAGTTGTCGGTGGAAAATACTGCATCGGTAGCAGAGAGAGCGAGCAAATCTACCGACTCCCAGAAAGCTCCATTATATAAAAGTAGTAAAATCGAGGCTACATGACATTACCATGATGGAAATGGTATGGGAGGGGTATGTAGATGAGTTCTCAGTTGTTGCAGTTGCGCAAAGAGCATATTAACTAAGTCCAATGTTCGAAACCGCTTTCAACTGTCGCCATGGATTAATGCCTAGTGTTTTGATCCCAACCTCGGCACTATTCAGGTCGTCTTCCGATTTGACAGCGCCACATATGGTATATGAAGAGGACAACGATTCATTCTAAGGGAATACCTCAGAAACCTTTTTGATGGGGAACCAAGCCTTTGAGTCACAAAAAGAGATTGCAATGAAAAAAGGCAAAAATAAGCTCACATTGCATACAACATTGGAACAGCCCATCTTTACAACGTCATTGAGGCTAGTATGTTCACGAAATGTGTAGCAGTAGGATTCACCCATACCGAGGATCGGATTGCATTCCTCTGAAAAACAATGCAATTAAGTACAGCGCCGAACTTCGTACGGGCAGTAACTTTTCTTCAGTTATTTGAAGATTGATTCATAGTCTCTCCCACTTTCGATAGTTTTCCGTGAAATGTAAACGAACAGGAGAAACGAGAGTAAGTCCGGTTTTCGTTTTGCTAAACATAGGTTGTGCTTTGGGTATTTTACATAGGAATAAGGAAAAAGCTTGTTGCATATTCTACACTGAAGCCAAGTAAATAGCGGCTTACAGATTCTTCATCGCAGCTTTTATACTCAAAAAACTGTCAGTAGCCGCTGCCAGATGTTTCCAACAGAAATTTTCAACTTTCATTTCCATAATTTGTCTAATTACATTTTACACATGGTACAGTACTAACTATGCAAATTCCTTTTAAATAATCAGCTTGAAAGATCTTCACAATAAGTTTGAGAGCATGACTCGACAAAACAATACGGAGTGCTTCCTACAGTATAGCCGACTTACACAGCAGCCCCCCTTCAAAGCACCGATTTTCAACGGAACTTCTACTTATACCACAGTATTGAGTACAGGTCTGACCGTCCTTTTCTCTTTCTGCAAGGACCAAAGTTCCTCATCAAACATATAGATTGACACAAATCCGAACTACTCCTGTGCACGAATATTACCTACCACAACAAAAAGGTGCATC